TCACTGTTCACAGCACTCCATACCTCTTCCACTTATATACCACATCCTTATAGACTTAAATTTAATAAATTATTTTTTTCTAGCAAAATATTCTCTAAAAATAATTTGTATGACAAACAACGTTTGTCGGATCAGCTAGTTATTATATAATAATTGTTATTATTTATATATAAATTTATTAATATTAATTATTAATATTTTTTATTATCTGGATTGGTATACTTGTATATATTACATCGTATTACATACGCAGCACACACAAATGGACATGTGAAATATTATAAATCTATTCAACAATGAATGTCATAAAAACTGTGATTAATGTTTCTGAACATAATAAATTCACATATACATACGACAGTAGGATAGTTATTCCCACTATTGATAAACGTAATATATTAAATCAACCTTGAGTTTGATTTCTACTTAAAAATCGGCTTACACATTTATGTTATGTCATATATCATAAATTTTATATTTGTATACTAAAGTTATTTTTCATTTTAGTATTGTGGTGCATTAAGTAAAAATAACCTTTTTTCTCGCTAAATACCCTATATTTACCAAAAAACCTCGAATTTTTTTTTTAAAATTTTTATTTTTTGGAATGCTGTTATTAGGAGTTAGTAGTTGTAATTGTTAATTTAGTATCAATTATATTTCATTTCGTTGATATCATATTAACTGTGCTGATTAATTAGAAATTAATAAGTTAAATTAAATTGAGAATAAAATGTATTATTTATTGTAATATAATAAAATATACTACTCAATTTTTCTATTTATAAAGTAGCCTGAATTATTAAAAAACATTGAACTTTTTATAGTATGGTAATTTTTTGTATTTTCCCTATAATCTTAATTCATAATTATCTTAATCATTAGTCATCGCATTAGTCGTTTGATATGTGTAAAAGTGAAATCAATTTTCAGAATAGATAGTAAGTTTTATTTATAAAATTGTGTCATTTCAACATTTTGAAGAGAAATAAAACAAAATTGGTTAAATTAATGAACACTTTTGAAGCAAATTATTAATTTAATCCATAAAGTTGGTAAGTCCTCCCATTTCCACAAGAACAGAAAAATAATAATAATAAGAATAATAGCTGGTTTTGTTACCGTGGTTTTCAGGCGAGGCTTATTCCACGTATAAAATCCATTTTCAACGTCTTCTGTAGCTCACCGATCTCATTGTTGAAGTCTTCTCGTATATTAGTTAAAAGGCAAATCGTATACGCATATGTTTCATTATATTTTAATCGAGTATGCAGTGAAAAATTATGATATTGATTTAATTACAATTTGAATAAACTTTGTTCGTTAGAATTTTCAAACCCATTTCCATACAAGTTTTCTAGTGTTTGTCGGCTCTTGGATTCGTAAAATATGTGAACGGAAAATATCTCACATAAAATTATGTTTTTTTTTCTTTTTTTTAATTCTTTGAGATTTTTGATATATTTATATAATTTTTGTTAATAATACCATACATATCGTTATGTAATGCGTCACATTGAAAAGCCTCAGGGTGCGTGATCTTAAGACGCATTTTCTCGTTTGGCGCCAGTTCTACTTTGACGCAGCACACGGAGACCGACAATCAACGTCGCGGGCCAATGCCCCATGAGCTCTTTATGCCGAGCTGCGCATCCTTTGTGCCGGGTGGGTCGTTGACGCGGCGTTCCCAAAGTTACAGCGAAACTTGGACTTCATGGACTTCACGTGGCGGACGTGCGGTCGTCGACACAGACAGCCCGGCTGTGAATCAATCGCGTAAGATCGTGTTCGGAGTATTCCGTGGCCGTGTCGTCGTGAATACGCCTGGAACGCTGGTGCCATGGCCGTCGAACAACTGCCCGAAGTGATGGTCCCGGGAGAGCCGAGCCCCCGCGACAGTGGGAACGATGCGTTGGCGTGTTTGAACTCCGGGATCGCACCACTCTGTCTACGAAGTCACGGTGAAACTTGGCAGTGAGCGTTTACCTCCAACCGTTCGGATGCAAGGTCGCTGCCTGGCGACGCAGGGAGGATCCGTAGAACGCGTTTCATGGTTCACCACACTCACCGGTTACCACTTACCGCTTATCCGGTCGTTGAGGTCGGTTGAACGTGTAACCCGTGGCACCAAATTTTTCGACGTATGTTGTAATGGCGAAACGTTATGGGGAAATATTTGACAGTTGAAAATAGTTGTACATACATGTAAGCATAATGGATAGCCCATTGTAACTCTTTTTGAGACAGCGAGTACAGTACAATAAGAAGATAATGGTGTGTATGAAAAATACGTTCGTCGTACTTCCTTTGGAACCAACAACAATGATAATCATTGATATCGAATAATTGTATGTCGTTTGAAGATTTCGGAGGATCACTGATTGCAATACAGTTCAACAAAAGCGGTCAGATCAATAAAAAGAAATTAATTCAAGTGAGTAAAATAAACTCAACTCAATAATGTCAGAAAGTTTTAAGTATAAAAGAAGTAGTGTTCACGTATTCTCGTATATGTAATTGCCCTTGTCCATAAATTATAAAGTATTTAAAGTATTTATGTACGTTATGCAGTGTTTATAAAATGGAAAAAAATATTTTTATCTGCGTCTCTAGCAGTCGTAATTCAAATTACGAACTACCTCTAATTGTTAAAATTTATTTAGATATACTGGAGCTTATTAAAATATCACCAAACCTTAACATTCAATGAGTTCAAAGAGAAAAAAAAACTGGAAAAAAAAGCTGCAGAAGACGCTGAATATAGAAGTGAACTGGGGAATGAAAACGTTTTAAGTTTTTATGATTGAGGTACTGCAGAGGGTATCTGTGGTGTTGGGCGAACTGGTGGTTCTGAAGGTACCTATGGCAATGGAGGAGCCGGTGGTGGCAATGGAGGAGTGGGTGGTGGCAATGGTGGAGCCGGTAGTGATAATGGAGGAACTAGTGGTGGCAAAGGAGGTGCAGGTGGTGGCACTGGAGGCGTTGGTGATGGTAATGGCGGAGCTGGTGGTGGTAGCGGAGAAATGGATGTTGGTTGATTTTTTCTTTCGTTTAAGACGTAAAGAAATGTCAGATTGATTTCTCTTATTAAACACGCTATAGACTTCATCATTATGTTCTCAATGGAATGTTTCGATTTATGCGTCATTTCATCTACAAATTATTTACAAAAATTAGTGTAACAATTCAATACACAATGTTTAAAATTATAGCTGATTCAATTAATGTAATGGTTCTAATTTTCAATCATGCAGACTCGCATTTTTAACTTATCGTATTTCCGATTGATATTATGGGTTCTCTCGTTATGTGAACCTCTGCCGTCTAGACGTATAATGGACAATATTATAATATACGTTTAATTATTATTGTTTCAGACGTAGAAAGTATTCACATATATGACACATTACTTTCATAATCTTGTAGATTTTTTATGTTATTGAAATCTTTCTTCATATCACTTTTTATGTTTTTAATATCAGTCTTGATACTTTTTCCACTCGCATTATTTTGTTTATAATCTATAATCAATCAAATGGTTTTTTTTTTTTTTAGTTTCAATTTAACGAAGAAATAAAAATTTCCATTGAGTTTTATGAAAATACATTTTCGTTCAACTTTTTCAAAATCTTAAAAAATAACAAGGCACCCAGCGAAAAATAACAGGAGAATTATTGAAAACAATGAGTGGTGATTTGGTTAAATATATACACCAATTGATTGGTCTAATATGGCGAAAGGAAGTGATACTGATGGAATGGAGGACAGTGCTGGTGTGCCTCATTCACAAGAAAAGAGACAGGCAGTTATGTAATAATTACCGGGGAATAGCCCTGCTTAATGTTACCTACATAATTTTGTCTTACTACCAGTAAGACAGTACCAGACAGTACCAGGGGACTACCAGTCTGGATTCAGACAAAACCGTTCTACCACTGATCAAATATTCGTTCTACGACAACTATTACAGAAATTGTGGGAATACGACAGAGGTGTCCATATGCTATTTGTTGATTTCAAAAAAGTATATGATTCAACACACAGGGAATCCCTGATTAATATCCTAAAAGAGTTTGAAATTCCCCAAAAATTAATAAACCTCATAAAAATGAACATCAATCACACAGACATTAAGGTAAAAGTAGGACAATCCACTTCAATTGTAGTACAAGTAACAACGGGGTTGAGACAAGTTAATGCCATGTTATTTTATTCAATATAGCCTCGGAAAAAGTAATAAGAGAAATAGGAATGGATCAGAGAGGTGTCAGAATAGGAGAGACAAATATTGGAATTTAAAAATATGCGGACGACATAGTCCTGCTGTCGGAAAATAAAAAACTAACTCAAAAGACAATCAAAAATACTGATAGAAAATGCAAAACGTTTAGGGCTGGAGATAAACACAGAAAAAACGGAGTAAATGGTAGTCAAAAGAAAAGTACCTTTAAATTATCAAAATAGTGGGATGGAAGTTGAAGGTCATATGTTTAAAAGAATATAACAGTTCAAATACCTAGGTGTCATGTTAAAACAACAGAACGAAATAAATAGTGAAGTGAAGGCGAGAATTCAAACCGATAACAAGTGTTACTTTGGGCTGACAAAGTTACTGCGATCCAGAACACTTTCTACAAATTTAAAGATTCAGATATACCGGACATTAATAAAACCAGTAGTAACTTATAGGTCGGAAACATGGACGTTACGGAAGACGAACGAAAATTCATTAGTTGTTTTTGAAAGAAAAGTACTTAGGAAAATATATGGTCCATGTAAAGATGTCAATCCTAGGGAATGGAAAATCCGAAAATATAGGGAACTAAAAGAAATTTATTAAAACCCGAGTACTGTGGAGGACATCACCAAGAGACGACTAATCTGGGCAGGACATGCTTGGCGTAAAGAAGAATCGCTGCTGAGAATAGTGATAGAAAGGGTTCTACAAGAAAAATATAGCTGGGATGCCCTAGGTTAAGATGGAAAGACAGAGTAAAAGAAGACGTGGAAAAAGTAAAGGCAAAAGAAGATTGGAAGGAATTATCTTTAGAAAGAGAGTTGGAGGGAAATTTGCTGGACGGTATGGTCTTGAAGGCCGAAAACCACGAAGAAGAAGAAGAATTACATTTATTTATTTTTTTTTTATTAATTACATTATATCATAGTTAGATCTGAACCGTTACGATAATCACTACAAGCTCGTTAACGGGATTTTTTTTTATTAAATGATCGATAAGTTTGTTATAACATTAAATATTCAGAAACTAGTCATTTTCACAACATTACGTTACTGATGTTATTCGTTTTTGCTTTTCTTTGATCTTCCTTATTTTATTAATGTACGCATAACACATTATTTTTTCTTCGTCTAATTTTTCTTTCTATCTGATAAAACATTTTTGTAGTTTGTTTCTGCTTTTACCGCAGTTTATATTTTAGTAGTGAATTCTCTGGTAAAAGATTTTTTAAATCCTATTCGAAATTTTATTTATGACAAAACTCTATAATGTTCTATATGTCTGACCTTATAAAAGGTTTTTTTTTATCTTTTTTCATATCGTAAACATAATTTTTGGGACACTTTGACTATCACACATAAGTGCTTATTGAAAAGAAAAAATTTACATCATATGGCAAACCCAATAAGGTTGGAATATAATAGAACCTAAAATGTTTAATATGATTTTGGCGTTTCTATTGTTATAATATTATTTTGTGAAACGAAATCGCTATCGGTTGTTGAAAATTATGATGGTATAAGACTTACACTGTAAGTCTCACATGACTTTGCAAACTTCCTATGCATTTTCAAAGTCGAATAGAAAATTAAAAATATTTAGAATTAAAACATTTTAGACTAATTATTTGTATTTTAATATTGATGGTGTAATATTGATTTTAATATTGATCGTTTGGCAAAAAACTGTTTATGTCCATTAAATAATTTAAGTCCTACATAATCATGGAATTTAAATATTGTTATTGAATTATAATAAATAGATTTCCATGATAATTTATTCCGGTGTAATATACTACCTGTAGATTAATCTTGTTATCACGTCAACGGCTTTTGTATTATTGCTATGCATATATGTAAACACTAAACTGTTTGTCATGTAAACGTGTAATCAGACTAACAGTCGCTGTTTGTTGACGATAGGATAAATTATAGTAGAATTTATGATCGAGGATAGTTTTATATTCTCTAAATTTTTTAATGTAATTAATAATTTATAATTCTGTTACGATCACAAGGTATATATAATATTCATTTTGGAAGTTTTTATTATCCGTTTTAATTTTATACTCCTAAATCGAGATTGATGTTGTATATGGTTAAATAATATACAATGACAATCAATCTTGAAAAGTACTCGAGTAAAATTATTTGAATAAAAGTATTCAAATAATTTTCATATACTAAAATACGTATTTTAAATAGTTTTGTAAAAAATACTTGGACATAGAATTTCAATTACTTTTTCAGAGTATTTATAATCAAATACTATTTTTAAATAATTTTTTCAACAAACTTTATATAAATTCTCTTACATTAGAATAAAAAATGTATTTACCAATTATATATTTATATTATATCAATAAGATTTATAAAAAATTTATCCAATCTATATAAATAAAATCTATATCTGTGTGTGGCATATTATAAAAATTTGTCGTATATACATATTACAGACAATTCCATTAAAAATACCAGAACCTGAAAATCATACTTATAGTCTACAAAATTATACATTATTATGTCTGTAACATGTTAAATTAATACCCTATAAATTAACGATTTCAAGATTATTGATTTATGATTATAAGGTAAACAATAGTTTGAATTTGTTTTAAGTATTTGAAAGTATCTATGAAAACTTTTTCGAAGTATATATATTTGTACTTGAATACTTTTCTTATATACTTATTTTCTTTTATACTTTTGAAAACAGTTATCTGTATTTGTATTTGAATACTTTTAAAAAGTATCTTTTTCAAGACTTATGATAACATAAGTAATCAATAATTTTCAACACAATGTAATATAACGTTTCGTTTGTTTTTCATATTTTTAGAAGGTTTCATATGCATGGCTGCATCTGAGTTGCAGTCAGAGACGACTTTTGAGATAAGGACATATAATAGTTGCGATCACGCTAATTGTAGGTAATATCCTAGTTGCGGTCATATACCTATTACTTATCTGTAAAGTTTGTAAATAAAATAAATAAAATTGTATAGCCCAATAGTACAGTGGCGTATATATAACTTTTTTTTTATGGGGGATCAGTTGCAAACAAATTATTATGGAAGAAAAATTCCTAAACCTAAGTACTTGCACATTTAAATAATAAATAATAAAAAATATATGTATATATATATGTATATTGAATATGTCAAAATAATAATTTACAATAAATGCTTGAAATATTTTTTTGGTTCCTTATAATTTCCTTACATTAAGAACACTATTTTATACAATTTTTAAAAGAACTATGGGGGGATCTGACTCCCTCATCCCCCCCCCCTTGTATACGCCCCTGCAATAGTAGTATAATAACGAACTAGATGATCACCAATCAATGGTACGGCAAAAGGTTAGTTACAGTGTTAAACGTAAGGCAGTGGAGCAATTGAGTGAGCGTCCCTCCAAAATTTTTCATTCTGAGATGTCAAGTACAGTACTCAGTGAACTGGAATCAAATGGCGTTACATTGATTAGAAAAAATATACACACTGCAAGAATGAATGTTCACCCGAAGTTACCGTGTGATTTTTCACAATTACATTTGACGCTTCCTAACATAATTAATAAAATGCGAACCAAAAATAATAAAAATTGTATTTTTATAAACGATGTTCAGAACAATATAATAAGTCTTACGAATCAGATAAACCTTAATTTTTTAAAATAATGTGATTTAATTTTTATGGACGGTACTTTGTCCAGTTGTCATTTTCCTTTTAAACAATTTTTTGTGATATATGGATATAAAAACAAAAGCAACTCATACGTACCTTTGTTTTTGTCGTTATT